TTGATAATAAGTGGTGACTAAAGAGGCTTCGTTGTACTATTCTCTCTATATTTGTACTGAAATTTTTCCATAATAAAATATTCTGTTTGTTTGTTTTAAAAGTACTTTTTGACTAACCTTTCTGGGCTAGGAGTTGTTCATTGGTTTGTTCAGTGAGTCTCGATGTGAGAATTAATTGCATTGTACATATCTTCTTTTTTTTACATTCCCATGATATTTTGGTGGAAGAGAGGTACTGCTATTTGCTCTCCGTTCCATGAAAACTGCCTATTTATATTTACTATTTCATGTTATTTTTTTCTAGAATGAGTATCAGCCAGTCATTTTTACAATTACCTATACTTGTTTCAAAATGTTCCTATTTCTGAAATACTAATCATGTGATACTCACAAAGATGACAGTGAATAGCTACTCCTCAGTCCGATCTCACACCAACACCACGACTGTCCTTGATGGTTGGAACCAAAAGGATGTATTACAGAGCTCTACATGGCAGGTTAAGTCAGTAAAACTTCGATAGATTCACTATTGTTAAGATTACAGTTCTTCCCAAATTAATGTATACATTTAGTGCAGCTATTATCAAAATCCTAGCTGACTTATTTAAAGAAATTGTCAAGCTGATATTAAAATTTATGTGGAAAGGCAAAGAAAAAAAAAATCACCAAAATAGTCGTGAAAAAGAAGACAAAGTTAGCTTACACTAACTGATTCAAGACTTACTATAAACCTGCAGTGATCAAGACAGTATACTACTGGCACAAAGAGAGACATAGATTAATGGAACAGAAGAGAATGTCTAGAAATAGGCATACATATATGGTCAGTTGATTTTCAAGAAAGATACTAAGGCAGTTCACTGGAGGAAAGAAAGCCTTTTTAACATGTAAGGTTGGAACAATTGATGTCTATATAGAAAAAATAAATCTCAACCCTTACCTTACACCATATATAAAAATCAACTTGAAAGAAATTATATACCTTAACAGAAAAGCTAAAATTTTATACTACTAAAAGAAAGCATTAGAAAAAACTTTTGAGACCATGAGGCAAATAAGGATTTTTTTAGATAAAACACAAAAAATGTGATGTATGAAATTTATATATCAATAAAATGCTGTTCATCTAATTTTAACTTTTGCTCTTTGAAAGATACATTTGAGAAAATGAAAAGGGAAATCAGACTGAGAGAAACCATTTGCAAAATATATATTTGACAAAGGACTTATATCCAGAATATAAAGGAAAACTCTTACAACTCATTAGTAAGACAAAAAATTTATTAATAGACAAAAGATTTGAATAAACAGTTCACAAAAGAAGATACATAAATGGCCAAAAAGCACATGCAAAATTTAATATCACTTGTCATCAGAAAAATGGCACTAGAAACCACAAGATACTATTTCACACTCTAAAATATTCAGTTAAATGACAATGCCAGATATATTTGTGGATGTGAGGCAACTCAAACTCTCCTATGTTGTGATAGGGATGAGGCAGCCAAATGGTGCAGCCATTTGTAAAACAATATGGCAGTATTATATAAAATTAAACATACACTTATCACTTGACTCAGCAATCCCACTCCTAGATATTTACCCCAGAAAAATGAAAATATGTGTCCACAAACAAACTTGTGTATGTAAATTTTTAAAGAGGCATCATTTGTAGTAGCCAAAAACTGTAAGCAACTCAAAATAAACAAATTAGAGTATATCCGTGCTATGGAATACTACCCAGTTATGCAAAGAAACATGGATGAATCTCAACAAAGCCAGACATAAAGGACTACATATTGTACGATTCCATTTGTATGAGTTTCTAGTAATGGCAAAACTGTGGTGACGGAAAGCAGATCACTGGTGCCTCATTGCCAGAAGAAGAAAACCGAATGTAAGAGACATTTGTTTGTAGAGCTGTGGAACTTTTCTATATCTTGATCAAAGTGAAAGTTACATGCTCTATACCAGACGTCCCCAAACTACTGCCCGCGGGCCGCATGCGGCCCCCTGAAGCCATTTATCCGGCCCCCGGCCGCACTTCAGGAAGGGGCACCTCTTTCATTGGTGGTCAGTGAGAGGAGCACAGTATGTGGCGGCCCTCCAACGGTCTGAGGGACAGTGAACTGGCCCCCTGTGTAAAAAGTTTGGGGACGCCTGCTCTATACAATACCAAAACTCATCACATTTTATATAGCAAATTAGTGAATTTTACTACGTTAGGCCTGCATCAATACAGCTGTTTCATTTCATGATTTCGTTTCCTAAATAAGGTGACTACTATTTCTAAGTTATTAGAAGGCCTTTTAGTATTATAAACAACATAGCTACAGAATTCCATGCTTTATTATATACTTAAACTTACTATTCTTGACTTGTTAAAATTGATTTTTAAGGCAACTTTATAGCACTTTTAAAAAGTGTTTCTACTTCCTGCACATTTCTAGTAAGTGTAATCAAGTGGTTGCTTTTTGCTAAAAGGGACCATGTTCAAGAAGAGGTGTGTGAAACACATTAAAATAAGCACTGCTGAATCTGTTTTGAAGTTTGTAAGCTTAACTTACGTATGACATGAGATAGCAGAATTAATCTTTACCCTTTCCATTTATTGTAAAATTCTTATCATGAAGGTTTTCAGTTTTTTGTAGCTGAAAATGTAAGCAAAGAAGTTGTCCTTTCTCTTTTGCATTTTTTAACCATAAAAACATTAAATAGTTCTACAGATACTCATCAGCATTTTCCTTAGAATTTTACAAACTTCTGCTCTAGGAAATAGCAGAAAGGAATTATTGACTCCCTAAAGGCAATGGAACAGGAGATTCCAGGTACATGGCAAATGCTGAATATAACTGTGAAACTGGGAAGGGGAAGAAGGCAAATTGGCCTACTACCTTATTTTCCCTTTCTTCAATTACATTATTACTTCATTTATTTGACTATTTATCAAGTCACTTGCCAGGCACTGTCCTAAGTGCTGAGGAGGTATGATTTGTCCTCAAGGAATTTAATGTCAAAAATAAACAGGAAATCACCATAAAGTGATATAAGTGCTAAAGGGTGCTTTGGAAACTCAAAGGAGAAGCATCTAAACCCGACTTCAAGAATGGAATCAGAAAAGGCTCCCTAAAGTGCCAACCAAGCTGAGACCTAAAGGAGGAGCAGAAATTAAGCAAGGAGAATTAACAAGAATGGAAAGATTAACTGTTTGTAGTATCCCTGAAGGAAGAAAAGCATGTACAAAGGCTGATGGGGGGGGTCAGGAGAGCAGGTTTAAGAATACTAGCTATCAGCCAAGTGAAAGCATATCCAGGTGGATGCAGCAAAGGAGTTGTGAGAGACATAACTGGAAAAGAAAGCATTAACTGCTTCATGTAGGGATCCTAAGTCATCTTAAAGTGCTTCCTCTTTATCACAGCACAGTGCAAATCTAACCACTATAGGATAAGAAGAAGAGAGGTATTCAAAGATGTAATTCAGAAGAAAAATATGAAAGTAATTTTAAATCTACTGTAAGAATCATTTCATGTATACCAATTACGATGGCATACTCTTTTTACTAGTGTTTACTAGGCATGTGTGACTCAGATATTATTTCTGTATTTAATGGTTCATTTTTCCTTAACGTGCTCAGGTTTTTTTGTGTGGGTTTTTCTTTTGTTTGCTTGTTTTGTTTTTCTGAGACATAGTCTTACTTTGTCATCCAGGCTAGAGTGCAATGGCACTATCACTGCAACCTCTTCCTCCCAGGTTCAAGTGATTCTCCTGCCTCAGCCTTCTGAGTAGCTGGGACTACAGGCACCTGCCATCATGCCCAGCTAATTTTTGTATTTTCAGCAGGAACGGGGTTTCACCATGTTGGCCAGGCTGGTCTTGAACTCCTTACCTCAGGTGATCCACCCTCCTCGGTCTCCCAAAGTACTGGGATTACAAATGTGAGCCACTGCACCTGGCCAATGTGCTCAGTTTTTAATGCTTACAGATGTCAGTTTTGAAAGCAGGACTGTCCTTCCAAGTTCCACCAAAATCATATTAGGTAACCACCAAAAGCTAACTTGTTTCTTAGTTCAAACTTTTTTTTAACCAGAAAATCTCTTGAACAAAATGGCTGATTGTTAATATATTGCATATTTGTGATGTTCCTCAAGCTGGGTAACAAAGAGACAACTAACAGACTAAAGCTTTGGTAGAAAGATTACTGGCATTCTGGATTACATCCGGCTTATCATTTGTCTGCCACCTAAAGAGAAGATATAGGGTTTGTGTGTGCGTGTGTGTGTGTGTGTGTGTGTGTGTGTTAGTCACAAATTTTTAATTGACATTTATACCTGTAAGATGTTAAAAAATGTTAGTACTTGAGTTTGTTGGCTTGTTTATTTTTGAGGCAAAACTGTGTTTTATGAACCCAGATGTTAACTAACCTTCACATGGAATTATTGCAGGATCAAACCCATAGGTTTGTTTTCTATTTCTAATTTCTAATTCAGTAAAGATTATTTTTATCTGCTTTTGCTAACTGTTTTGACTTATTTGTTAGATATATTTATTTTCTATGATACCATTAAATTGAAGGTTGTTATTGTTATAACTGGGGAACAAAAATGGTAGGTAATTGGAATATCAACTAATATTTGAAATATTGTATCTTCTAAGGCAAGGAAGCAATATAAAATGGTATTGCTGAATTTTAGGAAAACCTTAATTATTTTAAAAGCAAGACAGATGATCAACTTAAATAAGTACTTGTGAGAAGAACAACTATAATAGTGCAATGTATAGTAAAGATATTTATAAAATTGGCTCATAAATTAACATCAGTCACATTCAAATTTAGGAAATAGTTACAGAGCTGGCGGAGCTTACAGGTTTTCTTTTGAAATTAAATGGTGAAAATCCAAGCCCAAGTGCCAAGCTCCTCTTCAGTGATAGGAGCATAAACATTGCTATGAATCCAAAGAGCTATTTTGCCACTTATTCTAAAAATTATTCTACTACTCTTTAGAAGAAGAAGCCACTCCAGATGGTGCTATTGCAGAATACAGAAGAGAAAAGCAAAAGTATGAAGCTTTGAGGAAGCAACAGTCAAAGAAGGGAACTTCCCGGGAAGATCAGGTAACTTCAAAACCCCAAATCCATACTTAATTTATTGTCTTTTTATTGTTTTTACGTGTTTCTAAATGGAGCCTAATTTGATTATATATCAGGAGAAGCACTACCTCTTAAAAATGAAAAAGAATATATATAGGGTAGACATTGGCCACTCACATAAAGATTCAAACTCTGGAGTTCTTTCCAGACATTTGTGGTGAAAAAACCTGGAACTCCCACATTTCAACCTGGTACTCCTATAGTAAGCACAGAAACCTCATGAAGCCACATATCTTCAGAAACCCAGGTAGAACCTCTGTCTAGTGAATATTATGAAACAAAGAAGTGGTGATTGTAAGTGATGAGAGAGTCAATTCCATCCCAGCATCGCACATGCTGACTAGCCAGCTTAGCTTGAAATTGTACACTGTCTGGAAATAAAGCACTTGGTCTACTAGCTGACTTCTATTGTAATAAAACTGTTTATTACAAGTAATTCCTGAATCATCAGGTAGTTAATATTAAGAAGTTGTCAGAAATCAAGAATGAAAAGAGATAGGAAGCTAGCTCAACAATTTGGGAGTCAGCACTATGCACCGTGCAATACGTGACACTTGATAAAACAAATCTCTTAAGCAGAGCTTCATGTTGAAAAGTTAGAGGGCAGACAGATATCATTTATTTTTGGTGCAGCCATATATATGGATATAAACAAACTGCCTTATATATATGGACATGCCATTTTAGTTGTATAAATAAAATAGGCAAAATAAAAGTAAATATAAAAGCCCAAACCTGTTTGGATAAATTAATCTAATCAAGAATTGTGTTATAAATAACACCTAATTACTTGTAAGGAAGGATCATGTATCACTGCTTACCATGAAAATAATCATAGGGAAAGGTCAACAAGAAGTCAGATATAGGAAATTGTAATTATAGAGAACTAACATGTATGTAACTTTCAAAAATTACAGGTTAATAAAGTACATTATTAATTTGTTTTCATAAAATCACAAAGTCTTCTAAATAGCAATCATAGTGACTATACTACCAGAGATACTAAGGATTACTCATTCATTCATTCCTTTCCCCCCAACCCTCTTAGAGCAAATAATTATTAAGAACCTGCCATGTATTAATCACTGTATTTGACGGTCAACACATGAACACTCTGATCTGATCTGCTCTCTCTCTGATCTGCTCTCTCTGATATATCAGGGAAAAGAGCTAATTAAACAAGCAATACCACTGAAAGGGGGTGAGCACTTTGAACGGGTAGGTACAGGAAACTATGTAGATGTATAACAGGGGGGCCTAACATGGCCTAAGAATTTGGGAGGGCCTTCCTAAGGAACTGATTTGTCAGCTGAACTTCAAAGGTTGTGTAGGAGACAGCCAGGTAGAGGCAGGGTATGGCTAGACAAAAGGAACAGTATGTGCATGAGAAGTCTTTGACCTCTTTGCAAAGAACTAAAAGATATTAAATATGACTAACATAAACTAAGAAGAGAAAGATGAGGCTGAAAAGGTAAGCAAAAATAAGTTTGTACGAGGTATTTTTGAACCATGTTAAGGAGTTTAGAATTTATCTTAAAGACCATGGGAACTATAAACAGAAGAAAATGATATGATTTCACTTTCAGGAAGATTTCTCTAACTGGGCTGCAGTATGGAGATTGGACTGGATATAGGACAGGGCCAGAGGCACAGGGCCCAGTTGGGAGACTCTTGTGTTAGATATGCATAAACAGAGTGTGCCAAGATTGGGCCCCTTCAACATAGCTTCTACATTCTGGGAAGGCTCTCACTGCACTGAAGAGCCTTCCTGGAAGTAGTTGGCTATCCATTCCTTCAGCCAAAACCATAAACTCAATAATTCCCCTGCAGATGCCAATCAAAATGCCTCCTTGCAGATCCTATCTTCTTCACACTATAATAAATGTGTTCCATTATCTTTGTGACTTTTTTCTGCCCAGAATCTTCTCTTCCTTTATAATACAGCAGGAGGAAGTCAGTCCAGTCTTAAATATAGAAGAAGCTAAAACTGGCCAAGAGGATGTTTTTTGTTTGCCACAGTCTCCCCTCTTTGAGCAAATGCCGAAACTGGCTCATCCTAACTGGCTCTAAAAACAAACTGCCTTGCCACTTTTAACTCAAGGAGAAAGATCTCCAGGTCTAGTATAATTTTCTAGGAAGTTTTAAAATTTCATTCCACTTAGAAGTCTTTTTTTGTTTTCATTTTTCTTTATGCTTTTAAAAAAGACAATTCCAAGTGTGTTAATGTCCATCATTAAAAATTAATAGGGGCCAGGCATGGTGGCTCACCCTTGTAATCCCAGGAGTTTTGGAGGCCCAGATGGGAGGATCCCTTGAGCCCAGGAGTTTGACCTCAGCCTAGACAACATAGGGATATCCCATCTCCACAGCAAAAAAAAAAAAAAAAAAAAATAGCTGGGCATGGTGGAAGACATCCTAACTACTCGGGAGGCTGTGGCAGGAGGATCACTTGAGCCTGGTAGGTTGATGCTGTAGTGAGCCATGGTTGCACCATTGCACTCCAGCCTGGGTGGCAGAGTGAGACTCTATATCTCTTAAAAAAAGTATTGATATGGTTTACTTTTAAGCTGTATTATATTAGTCCATTTTCAAACTGCTGATAAGACATACCCAAAAGTAGGAAGAGAAGGAGTTTTAATTTGACTTATAGTTCCACATGGCTGAGGAGGTCTTACAATCATAGTGGAGGGTGAAAGGCATTTCTTACATGGCAGTGCAAGAGAGAATGATGAAAAAGCAAAAGCAGAAACACCTGACAACCCCATCAGATCCTGTGAGACTTATTCACTATCACGAGAATAGCATGGGAAAGACCGGCCCCCATGATTCAATTACCTCCCACTGGGTTCCTCCCACAACACATGGGAATTCTGGGAGATACAATTCAAGTTGAAACTTGGGTGGAGACACAGCCAGACCGTATTATATAGATTAAATAAACAGACATGGAGATAGGTATATGGAGTTACATATTTATGTAATAGTTGATACAGATATAGATACAGATATATAAACACACACACATACACACACACACACACACACACACACACACACACACACAGCCTTGAAGTATATTTACCAAAATGTTAACAGTGGTTATTCTGAGTGGTGGGAGAATAGTTATTTTACTTCTATTTTCCAATATTTTTACAGTAACCTGTTTTCTTGTTAATAAGCAAATACAATAAGAATTTCTAAACAATGGAGTATTTTTAATGAATAAGGTTTAAAAACAAGAGATGCTTTATCTGTTAACATTGTTTGAAGAATTTAATTCTATAATGTCTACTCTAAAAACAGATAAAATATCTAAATGCTAACATACTAGGCAGCCCTTAGAATGCCTATGATGATATTCTGTAGGAACTTATAAATTTTCCCCAAAACTCATCGCATTCAGTAGCTATGATAATATGTGTATTTTTAGCTGTTATGTGGACATTAAATTTTGCTGAAAAGTAGAAGATGCTTTTTACTATCATTTGTTAAACAATAACCAAGTACCTTTTTCTTGCAGTTAATTTGGCACCATTTGTCTTTACTAAGCTTGGGTTCTAGACTGCCCAAACCTACTTAACTTTTTCATAAACTGCGATCTTATTGATAATGTCTAGATAAGTTCTGGAGCTTAGGAAGTTTTTGTGACTCTTTACCAGTTAGTCACATGTTGAACTGTCACACATCTTTTTCCTTGTGAAATGTGAGGATTTCAGTATTGAATTCAACATACCAAAATCTTGATTAGGCCCTTGATTTCTCGGACAGGTAATATTTTATTCCATTTCACGGTGATGTACTCCATAAATCTGTCAAAAGAAAAAACATTTTCTAGCTTCTGTTGTCTGCTCAAATTCTGGAGTAGATTGCTACGATCTAGGAGATAGTGTGATTACAAAATTGTAGCCACTTGCTTCTTCTTGCCCATGGAGAGCATAGGAGCCAAACAAGAATTCACAGGAATGTTCCCCCTACATACACACTTTAAAAAAAAAAATACTCAACACAATATTTGTATTCATCTTTCACTTAGCAATAGAGTACAATGTTTCATGTATATAATTTTTGATAACGATAGCATATTTATAATTATTAATAACAATAGTATAGTTAGGCCAGGCACAGTGGCTCACACCTGTAATCCCAGGACTTTGGGAGGCCAAGGTGGGCAGATCACTTGAGTCAGGAGTTGGAGACCAGCCTTTCCAATATGGTGAAACCCATCTTTACCAAAAATACAAAAAAATTAGCTGGGTTTGGCAGCATATGCCTGTAGTTCTACTCGGTACTCTGGGGCAGGAGAATCACTTGAACCTGGCAGGCGGAGGTTGCAGTCAGCCGAGATCGTGCCATTGCACTACATCCTGGGCCTCACAGCGAGACTCCATCTCAAAAAAATAAAAACGAAAAAAATAGCATATTTACTGCTTTTTACTAATTTTTTAAATATATTTTATTGCATGCTTTTTACTAAATTTATCTAGTTTCTTACTATAGACATTTAACATGTTTTCATTTTTCCATTTGTGTGAATATTGCTGCATTGTACATCTTGTACATAAGCCATTTTCTGTGTTTCACATTATTTTTCTGTCATCCCAGGGTTGTAATTACTCAATCAGAGGGAATGATCATCTTAAAGTTTCCAATACATATCAACAGCTTTCTAAAGATATTCTAATTTGCTCATTTTCCATCAGTTAATATGTTCATTCTACCTTCCTAATATTGATATTTTTATATTTTTGGAAATTTGTCAAATAATACTGTTTATTTTTTTGTTTTTGATTTCACATAACAGTGAATTACCTTTCTGTGAATTACCTTTCTCTCTTATAGACACCAAAATCTTTTTTTTTTAATTGCATTTTAGTTTTTGGGGTACATGTGAAGAACAAGCAAGATTGTTGCATAGATACACTCGTGGCAGTGTGATTTGCTGCCTTCCTCCCCATCACCTATATCTGGCATTTCTCCCCATGTCATCTCTCCCCAGCTCCCCACCCCCCACTGTCCCTCTACTGTTTCCCCCCAACAGACCCCAGTGTGTAGCGCTCCCCTCCCTGTATCCATGTGTTCTCATTGTTCAACACCTGTCTATGAGTGAGAACATTTGGACACCAAAATCTTAACTATAAATGAGCATAAATTTTTTATTTTATTTTATTGATTTATTTAGAGACAGAATCTCACTCTGTTACCCCCATTGGAATGCAGTGGCACAATCATAGGTCACTACAGCCTGAAACTCCTAGGCTCAAGGGGTCCTCCTGCCGGACGCTTCATAGTAGCTGAGACTACAGGTGCTTATCACCACATCTGGCTTTTTTTTTTCTTTTAAGTGATGGAGTCTCACTGCATTACCCCTGCTGGTCTTGAGGTCTTGCACTCTTGGGCTCAAAAGATCCTCCCACCTTGGCCTCCCAAAGGGCTGGGACATGAACCAATGCACCAGGCAAAACATGTATTTTTAAAAATTGAGTCTTCTGTCTTCTACATAAGCAAATTTTTGTTTCCCAAATCAGAAAATAGTCACCTGTCTCTGAGAGGAAATGTCAGTGCAAATCCAAACAGAACAATGTCAGAGTTTGTTAATGTCACTATTGCAGCATAAAGGTATTTTTGTTCTTTTCATTCAAAAGCAAACATTTATCTAAGTGTTTTACATCCAAGTAGGATACTTGCTTTTCTACCAAACTTAAACATCTCTTTTAAAATTATATTTGTCTTTATCAGAAAACTTAGCAGTCTTATTGTTATTTCAGACTCTTGCACTGCTGAACCAGTTTAAATCTAAACTCACTCAAGCAATTGCTGAAATGCCTGAAAATGACACTCCTGAAACAGAAGTCGAAGATGATGAAGGATGGTAAGGACTTTGATTTCCTTATATTAACCATGAACAAGTAGGCTCAGAGCAGAGACGCTGCTGCGACATTTCCACTATATCATTCTTTTGTTTTCAGACTTTACCGTCACCATTACAGGACCTTGACAGTTTTTTGACTTTATTTCAGTTCAGTATAAAGTAAAATAAATAAATGCACCAAGCACTGAAGAAACAAGCATTTATTAAGCACTTAGTATGTTTAGCGTTGTGCTAACCAGTGAAAAATGTGCAAGAAATTATCCCAGCTCTAAATAACTTTCTAATATTGTGGAAAAGATGAGACTCACATTAAACAACTCAAAAACAACCTTAGAAGACAATAAATCAATAATTTCTTACATTTTCCCACAGACATTTTAGAGCTCAGTAATCTATTTCATAATCCTAACTTCCTCTTGAAAGTTATGATCTACAGGATCCTAGCAACTCGTACATAGTTAATTTTATTTTTATCTTTGGATATTTTTCAGCTCTTTAAGACACTGATATGAAATAAAATAATGACATGTACATGTCTTTTGCTTAGAACTTTATCCTATACTGGCAAAAAAAGGGGGAGGGGGAATAAAAATTGTGTGGTTTTTCCTTATCACACTCCTCTGTCCTTAAGTTGAGTTCACATGCAGTGTATTAGGCCTTTCCACACCTAACTGCCTCCACCTCCCACTACACCCTGGCTCAGCCACATTGCTGCAAGCAAGCCAGTGTATCACCCCCTACACATGACTCACCCTCTGGAGACTCTGAACCATCACATGTGCCATTACCCCAACCCAGAATCATAGCCACAGTTCTCTCTGCCAAACAGCGTCGCCCCTATTTCAAAACTCTGTTCAACACTCCCATCCTCCAGGAAACCAGTCAGCAAGATTTGTTGAACACTCACAAATCTAGAGGGTGGAGGAAGGAGGGCTGGAACACACATTTAAAAAGACATAAAAACACTTATTAAGGAAACATTCAAACACGTAAGACTCTGCAACTGTGTATAACTTTAATCAAAAGGTCTGAGGGCATGATGATTTGAGTGGAATGAATCCTATCTAACCTAAGACTCTGAAAGCACTTGTCTATTTCTCAATTAATTTATAGTTTTCATATGATGTGGGTTATGATCTACATCTATTTTAATAGGTTTTCGTAAGATTCTACATCTCTTTTAATAGGTTTCTATTACTTATATATATTTGTTTATACTTAAATTCAAAGTTGCTTGAAGGCAGAAGCTGCCTCCTTCCATAGTTTGGTGCCAAAGGCAATGACTCAGTGAATGTTGATTGACCCATAAAGATAAATGCACATTGTACAGAATTTTTTTGTTTTATATAACTGAGCAGGTTTAGTTGTGTGTGTGTGTGTGTGTGTGTGTGTTGTTTTGTTTTGTTTTGTTTTGTTTTGTTTTATTCCTTGAATGTCTCAACATCTCTTTCAAATGTTTTGGGTTCAGCCACCACACAAAAAATGTTTTGCCAAGTACTCTTCCCTTTATTTTTGAATCCATATGCATTATTTAAAGGGAATATGACCCATGTGTTTCTGATTCATTTACACTTAACTCATCAAGATGGTGTTTTGTAAGAGCAGTTTGATGCCCAATAAGTTTTTTTAACCTTTTTATAAGCCATTTAAGTCCTTTTTTATTGAACAGGAAAGTCACCAACAAATTCAAACCCCAGAAGTTTCATTCGAAACTCATAACCCACAGGATTCAAATTTACTTTCAACTTGGCAAGACCATTTAATTTCTCAAGGTTCTTCCTAGCCCCTTAGTTCAATATTCTCTCATTTTGAATTCCTCATTAGTTTCAGATACCAATGATGTATTTTTAAAAGTGCCATTACTGTTTTTGATGGATTTGATTATACAATCAATTTTCTGGCTAACATTCTCATTTAGAAACTTTAAAAATGGGGACACTTCACTGGACATGGGGGAAAAAAATCACTGGTCAGTGATGTTAGCTAATTCTCCATTGGGAAAAGAAATGGTGCAGAAGTGGGAAACAAGCTAAAGGAACCAGTAGCATGTCTTCGGGGGCTCCTTTCTGCCTTCAATTGCAGTCTCCTAAACAGAAAGTCAGAGCTGTACCCTACACACCTCCAGAATTTTTTTGGTATTTGTTTTATTTAACATCTAACAAAAATGCCTTTCATGTTTAAGGCACTATGCAGAATCAGATAGTATATACAGGGCCCTTATGTAATGCTTTTTTATTGTAATTTAGACCTTTAGACTTTGTAACCTGATAAGCAACAACATCATTTCTGTTCAGTTTAGCTTTCTTGAGTCTCTGGTGATTTAGATCCTCTCTCATAAAGTATATTCTTCTCAGGAAAGGAGTCTTATATTAAAAATGATTTATAACAAATATTATGAGTGCATGGCATGTGCATGTGTGTTATGCATAAATTACATGGTTTCCAGACTCTTTTGTGGGTCGTGGTTGCCGCTTTTCTAAGAAGTGAAAGTCAGCCAGTGTGCTGTAGTACACTGTCAGGGTCTGTTATCTGAGGTAAAATGATTGCTTCTAAGACATTTTTATGTGTCCGCATGAGTGGCCACACATTGAGGGATCATTTTCATTTTCTGTCAAGATAGAAACCATTACCAATTTGTTATGTTTTCTTTTACTTGGCAAACTATTCTTTTCGCATTTTTGGCTGAGCTGCTGTATTGGCATGGTATACAACAGACATTTGGGTACCATTCAGCAGCGTTACACTTTTCATGCAAAAAGAAAAAAAAGCAGGGGAGGGAGAGAAAGAAAAGAAATATGATTCTATTGTAAACAGTGCGCATGGTGTTTGAAAATTATTCCCAGATTTCACTGTCTACCAAGGCATTTAAAGAAGTATTATTAGTAGATCTAAACTGAAATAAATGATAGAAATTTTTTGCTTAGAATTGCTAGGATTCCTCCCTTGTTCAGATGTATACTGCCAATATTTGATAATAGTGATGGTCCCAGAGTGGTCTCTTTGTCACTATATTCCTTAGTCCCACACTATCACAGACTCATATACCTGTAGAATTCTGCTTCAAGCACAGATGAAACCGATTAGACACATGGCAGGAGGCACTTGCCCAGCAATTCATATGATCATATGGATAAAGTCCATATGCCAGTTTGGGTTTGGTTAGATGAAGCTTGGTGAGCTCCCAAAAAAGTTTTGAGAAAGATAGCCACCTGCTCCTCACACAACAAAATTGGCATTTCTAAGTAGAGGAGAAAATTTTAATCTACGTGAATAGGCTATGATCTTACAGGCATTAACTCTTCACTATTATGTTTCATTGAAAATTCTTTCCAGATTTTTAAATCTAAGATTACCTTAGAACACACAGCACATATACATGATAAAATAATGAAGAATATAATGGTCAATCTGCCTTCTTCCCTCTTTTCTTCTTTCTCTCCCCTCCATCACTTTATTCCACAGTGCATACAGTATTTACTATTATAAAAATTTGAAAAACACTAACAATTGCATGGTTGCCTCAAGGAAATATTTTACTGATTATTATCTAATTAAAAGAGGTTCACTGTGGTTGGGGATGGTGGCTCACGACTTTAATCTCAGCACTTTGGGAGACCGAGGCAGGTGGATCACCTGAGGTCAGGAGTTCGAGACCAATCTGGCCAATATGGTGAAACCCTGACTCCACTAAAAATAGAAAAATTAGCCGGGCATAGTGGTGGGCACTTGTAGTCCTGGCTACTCAGGAGGCTGAGGCAGTAGAATTGCTTGAACCCAGGAGGCAGAGGTTGCAGTAAGCCAAGATTACACCACTGCACTCCAGCCTGGGTGACAGAGCAAGACTCCGTCCCAAAAAATAAATAAATAAATAAATAAATAAATAAATAAATAAATAATAACAGGTCCCAGGCAGCAGAATCGCTTGAACCTGGGAGGTGGAGGTTGCAGTAAGCCAAGATCGCACCACTGCACTCCAGCCTGGGTGGCAGAGCAAGACTCGTGTCTGAAAAAAAAAAAAGAGGCAGAGGCAGCAGAATCGCTTAAACTCAGGAGCCTGGGAGGTGGAGGTTGCAGTGAGCCAAGACCATGTCATTGCACTCCAGCCTGGACAACAAGAGCAAAACTTCATCTCAAAAAAAAAAAAAAAAAAAGATATTCACTGTGGAAAAATCAAAATGCAGACACCCTCAAAGGAGGTAAATAAAAATTATATATGATCCCAAACTCAAAGATAAATACTGTTAATTTATACGTATCAATTTATATATTTATGCTGTTTACACCAAATATGTGAAAGTATATGTTTATACATGTTATTTTATTTCTGTCCAGGTATTTCTATGCACATACATATTTTAAACAGAAATTAGATTATATAGTACTACAGCTTTATGACTTTCTTTTTTTTCCCTCAGCAATATACAGTGACTACTTCATCTTATCATATGTAATTTTACGTAATTTTTATCTTTTGTATAATGACCGTCATATTTCACTATATGATGAACCACAAATTTACTTGACAATATTGTTAATTTTTTTTTTTTTTTTTTTTTTTTTTTTGAGACGGAGTTTCGCTCTTGTTACCCAGGCTGTAGTGCAATGACGCGATCTCGGCTCACCGCAACCTCTGCCTCCTGGGTTCAGGCAATTCTCCTGCCTCAGCCTCCTGAGTAGCTGGAATTACAGGCACGTGCCACCATGCCCGGCTAATTTTTTGTATTTTTAGTAGAGACGGGGTTTCACTATGTTGACCGGGATGGTCTCGATCTCCTGACCTTGTGATCCACTCGCCTCGGCCCTCCAAAGTGCTGGGATTACAGGCTTGAGCCACCGCGCCCGCCATTGTTGAATATTTAAACGGTGCTATAACATCCTTGTTTTTGTGTCATTGCCCATTTTCTTCAAATAAATTTCTAAAACTGAAATTGCTTACTCAGTGAGTATACATGTTGACTTCTGCTAAATATTTTCAAATGGCTCTCACAAAATATCTTTCC